CACGTTTCACAGTTCTCCAGCTTTTACTGTGCTCAACATTCTGTAGAGATCGCTGTCTCTTTAGCCTAGTCGATAACACGTTTCACAGTTCTCCAGCTTTAACTGTGCTCAACATTCTGTAGAGATCTATATCTCTCCAGCCTAGTTGATATCCAGCAGTGAAGTTCCATATCTTTCAAGTTCTTAACGAGCAGGTTCGATATCTTGAAGAGTAATTGTTAATTCCTCGATGTTTATTTATTGGCCACTTTCAAAATTCAAAACTTCTTGACAACTATCTCCATAATCTTTATGCTACGGATGTCTGATGAGTTTGATTTAAAACCATTCACACATATCTTTTTCATAATTACCGAACGAAAAAACATTCATATAATCGATGTTGTTTTGTTTCGAGCTGAAATATTGATATTACTCACGTTTCTAGCTTATTAACGCCGAAATGTTCAAAATTACCTTAAAATAGATCCTACGACATGAAGTATGGCCTATATTAAATGGATGTAAATACATTTTTTTTTTCAGAGCCATAATAGAATAAACCAAGCTCTCCTTTCTTTAACAGAATCATCACAGATCGTAAGAAATACTTTCTATAGTATTAGGAAAGAGAATTTACATTAATATCTATCGTAGTTCTAAGTAATACATAGAATTATTGAATTATCGATCTTTTTCTAGGGTAAATTTGTAAATTAGCAGTTAAGAAACATATGACAAAGAAGCTATTTGTATCTATTGAGAATTGTGTCTACTACGTAACAGTTGGAGAATGCCGACAAAAATAACTATCATTGTAAACTTTTTTTTTCTATAGGAGTAAGAAAACGGTATTTCTGTTGCTTGATACATTTCTGGATTAGAAAAGTCAATAAATTATTTACAGACGTGATTAAAGTCAGTAACTCGGGGGCCGGATTAACCATAGTTTATCGCTTAAAGAGTTAAAACTTAAGCAAAACTAAAATATGCAAATTAAATATACAAACTATCGATTTTCTATAAAAAACAACAACATGCATTAGTAAAATTCCTTATAATATTCGCTAGTCACGAAGAAGTAACACCAAAATGTAAAGCACAGAAAAAAGGTATTATATATATATATTGTGTTAAGGTGTATTAAGAAATTTTTAACCCTATTAGTAGATCATTTCGCAAAATTTCCAAGAAAGAGGCATTTGAGGCAAGACATATATTTAATTGAAGTGGAAATATTCTAGGCCTATTACAACGAGCTCATCGTTAATACAATTTCGGAAATTTTCTATAAAAGCGAAAGGGTACCAAGTGCCATTTCAACAAAAGAAAATTCTATAGTACAGTGTACCACCTTACATAATTATTCATCAATAATAGATTATCAGTCACAAAGAGTGAACACACTGTCTGGGTGTTACAAGCACAATAATCTAAGTTTTAGGAATGAGGAGAGTAGAATATAGTACCTAATGTACACAAATCGTTAGTAGTCTATAATAAAATCATAAGTAAAGAGTCTCAATAGTATTACTTCAATGTTTTCAACATGAATGGGACAACAATAGCTTCCTTCTAAGAAAAAAGTAGGATTCTACTAGTACATGATGTATATGATTGACGAAGTTATCGACATGCGAAATGCCACTTGTGTAGCCTTGGTAACATTACATGATCTTTCCAACTTTGGTATTTCATGAAATTTTCTTTCCAATAAACTTTGGCGAGTTTTCTTTTATTTGTTTCTACAATTGAAGACAATATTTCTTCACTTTTTCTTCTCTTCTTCAACTCCTTGTCAATAACAATTGGACTCGTATGGTCCTCATGAAACGTTATGTAAACAAAGTCATTTAGAGTTTAAGTCAGTGTAACTAGTGAGATCGAAGAGCAGTTTTACTTGCCTTGAGTAAACTGTAGTTCACACAAAAGTGTATGTACTCGTATTGATGTGGGGTTATAGAATTTCAGGTTACATAACCCTTGCACAATATGATTTTAGGCTCATAACTTTCGGGTCAGAGAGCAGTAGATACCATTATGTGAAGAACATATTCTAACTACACCTATACTGGATGAGGTAAAGATTTAAGGACTCAACGAAGAAGACATTTATTCATTAAAGTGCTGGCATAGTTTAGTCACTGCTATGGAGGATCAGTGAGAGCATAATGCCTACTAATACATATTCTCTTAAATTTCTTCAACACACAAAAACACACTCTTAGCTTTCCAGATGTTGTACATAATTAATGATATACTTTTTTTTCTGCAATTAAAGTTGCTTGTCTGAAAGGTGACATTACTCACAAGAAGTACATTTCCGTGATAAATTCAACTTAGCTTCGAAAAGGATCTTACACCCTTTTTTACAAAATAAAGTCGAATTATTGTTATTTTAGACTTAATACATTTAAAAGTGTGGGAAGCTTATAAAGATCATTCTGGTTTGGCACTGATTTTGGCAGAATAAAAGTATATTCTACCAAGTTCTTTAGTTAATGTCCAAGAATAGCCAGACAATAATCTTTCTTATACCAATTATATTGATGCTATAGAAGACCATTGAAAACAGTATATACATATATATACACACAATTATTCCTGAAAGTTGCATTGTAAGAAAGACTATGGAAACAGGAATAGATACAAAAACGCTACGCAAATACTGATGTACACTGAGGTTTGTTCCTGGCTAAGTTGTTTCTTAAATATTGACGTCTTTCCCCTCTGTATCTTAATCTTTATTTTGGAATCCATACGGCGAACTGTTTATATATTAATATAGACCATTTTGAACCGAAATACGTTATCAGTGCTTCGGTGTGTTAAGAACAGTTGTAATTGAAGTGATAGCTTCGTATAAATCGCAAGCTGGAATGCGAGAGCGTTATCAATTAGGTTTACCACAGAGCTCCAGTACAACTTAAGGCTGAGTTTAAGCTTCTCTGTTGGAAGTTTCAGATAATCCGAATATATTGCACAAGACAAACCAACTAGATACAAAGCACGTGTATCACAGGTATAAAAAATAAGTGCTAGAATGAGAGTAGAATGGTTAATATCAAGGGTATGTGCAAGAGTCATGCACATTTGGGCTTAAGGTATGTTATCAAATAGTTATTGTTGAACGAAGATCGCAAAAAATATTCTTCATTTTCGCAACTGCTAAAAATACATACGATTCACTAAATTTTATCAAACGTTCCACATAAATGTCTGTTGTAGACTAGGGCTAGTAACGTTTGATGTCATTTCAATTCGGGAAAAGGCTTAAGTTTGTTGCTCGTATTCGCATAATGAGTGTCCTAGAAGTCAGAATATGTATAGGCAAAGTACGTTATTTAGTAGAGATACATAAGATTTACGCGTATAGATGCACTAGCCAATAGCTGTCATTAAAACCATGGCTTTCGTTAAACATAGAAACAAATGACAGATAAATAATATCGATGCTCCTGCATCCTTTCCAATCACCCTTACACGAACATGTGATAACTGTTTTGTACGCTATGTTTTGTCTTTTATTGTTCTGATTAACTATACCTAACTGAATGTCTTTTAACACGATTCTATCACTGCAATGTTATTGTTTAGTTTTATCACGTTTTGACGATATATTGCAGCTATATATCAGTAGGGTTTGTAACATTTACACGCACATTTAGTATTTTGATAGCACAACTAAACATGACGTCCTCATTTTATTACCTTCCTATGCTTTCACTGTTATTTATTGGACACACAAAGATTCTTATTCAGAAGCGTTTTAATTATTAGAATTAAATCACTGAATACTTCCAGCTAGTAAATTAAAACATAATAGGCTCTGAAGCTTTAATTAACATACACGCTTCTACGTTGAGACCTTCACTTTTCTTGAAATGTTGGTCATCCTTTGATCCATGATCTTCATCTGTCTGAAAGTTGGATATCTTTTGACCATTGTCAATAACTAACTTTATCTGGCTATCCTTTGACATTTTTCCAACAACTATTTTTATTTTGCTACAAAACTGCCTTTTCCTTAACGATTTCCAAGAACTGTCTTTATTTGGACAAAGGTTAATTTTCGTGTTACTTTAGCAAAAAAAAAGAACTTTTTTAATTCTAACTTGAGGCTGGCTTTTCTTGACCCTTGTCAATAACGACCTTAACCTGGTTAAAGGTTGACTATCTTTTAACCCTTACCAACAATGATCTTTAATTAGCTAAAATCTGGCTGTACTTGAACTTTTACCAACAATGACCTTTATCTGGCATAAAGTTGCCTTGATTATTACTTTTTTTTACAACCATTATCTCTCTAAAAGTTGTTTATCATTTTACCCTTGCCAATAGCGAACCTTATCTTGCTAAAAGTTGGTTATCCCTTGACTCTAACGAATATCAATCTTTGTCTGGCTAAAAGTTGGCTATTCTATGACCTTTGCTGACAACGGCTTTTTAGTTTAATTTGGCTATCCTTTGACGCTTGCTAACAACGACCTTTATCTGGTTTAAAGTTGGTTTTCTCTAACCCTTGCCGATAACGACCTTTAATTGTCTAAAAATCAGCTATGCTTTGACCATTGCCATCAACAACCTTTATCTAGCTAATAGTCGGTTATCGTTTGACCGTTTCCCAGAATTACCATGTTCTAGTTAAACGTTGGCTATCCTTCGAGCCTTGCCAACAAGAATACAAGAAACTTTTCACAGCAAAAGAAATATTCTTAGTAAACACTTTTTAAGGAGGATTGTTTCGACAATCGTGTCAGTTATTACATTATTGCAATTATAGTTGCTAGGTGCTCATTTATATCAGTTTATGGTATACGAGTTAGCAAACGAACAATATGCACTTACAGGTTATTTTTAAGGAAATCACTCACAATATCATTTAACAAACCACTGACTAATAAACATTAAATAAATAAAGATGTTTTATATTCCCGCCAATTTATTACCACGTATACATTCCGCAGGTAAAAAAAAAAGAGACTTTTCTGATTTTATGTCATTATTTACTGTCATTTCAGAAACGACACTTGCCAAATTAAACTACAGATATACTTTGAGTGCAATAGAGTTCCATTTCATTCTGATACCGTAAATCTAAAACAAAGATGATAATTAAATAAAACGAATTCGATTACAATTGTAACATTTTGGCCTTTTGAAAAATAAGTTAATATATACATTTAATAACATACACGATAAAATTGTAATAAAATAAGCTAATTTTCCCTGACAATTACGATTATCCCGAAGGAACTATACAAGAAAAATAAATGACCGAAAAACTAACTTAAGTCTCTAATACTTGGGTATTTTCAAGGGTTTGAAGTATTTCTGGGGAAATTGTTTGAACGTTATGTTGCCCACTACTTAGCGTTTAATTACTGCCAGACAATACCCTTTGTAGCTACATTGACCACGCGTATTTTACTTACAGACTGTGGCTAATAGTGATTTATGAATAATGAATAAATAGCTGATATAGTAAGTGAATATTATACATGGCCACCTAGTTCATGCTACTATGCGAGTGAATGCAACGTATAGGCACCTGATGAATAAAAACGTATACTTCTAAGTTATAGCAGTTCTAGAGCAGAATCGCAATGACTGCCCCTAACTGGAACATCACAGACCCTGCACTATTGAAGTGATTTACTCTTTGAGTAGATTGCTGGGAATGAAGAAAGAAAAACCTCAGTTAATTCAGTTACGGCCGACAGAAACACACTAATTAGAATGCCAGCATTTGTCTGCCAGTAATCTAATCCGGGTGATAATCTGCGTATCACAAGATGTAGACACCAGCTCTGTATACTACTGAGTGAGAGTCCAGTTCTCCTCTTGCATTGGTTCAATCACGGCATACGTTAGGAAAAAACAGAAGGCAAAAGAGAAGAACAACAGCGGAAACACTACTTTGGAAATGTTGTCTATCTTCTTGGCAAGTTTTGGACAAGTTCCCACTTCTGACTCTAAGGTTTGAGGTCGACGTAACCAGGCAAAGATAGATGCAGCAGCTCTGGCCTTCACTCCATCGAGTCGATTGTCGTCGAACGCAGGAACCTCTGAATGCTTGTTGTTAGTCTCGTGGTTGTTTTCTTCATGCCCAACCTTGTGAGCGCTGCCCTGTTTACAATAAAATAGAACCAATGATCAAACTAGACACTATACTATAAAGAAACTTAAAACAAACAAACAAACCAACAGATAACGATGAACAATTATCAGATATATCCTATTCATATAAATTGGGCCATGATCAACGATAAAAAATGACAACACTTATGTACTTAGAAGCTGGTATCATAAGAAGATTAATTATCGGCGTGCTCAGACCTATTGTTGTGACAGCATCCAAAGTTATATTTAAAAGATACCACATCAAAATAAATATTACGATTAAAAGATTACATTCAGAAGTTCAGGAAATTATATTAATTCAAACACTAGAACTGATACGGAAAAAACATTCCCCGGAGGGTCATCTGTAAACTTGAGGGCTTATAACGCTAGAATTTGGGGTTAAGAATCAATAGGGGATGTTAATAGCTGACGATGTGTTGAGAAGCAGTGGGAATGAAAATAGATCTTTCGATATGTTGGGAAGAAGTGGGGATATTAATATCTGTCTTGATATGTTGAGAAAGAGTGGGAGATGCACATATCTGTTTTTTTATGTTGAAAAACAATGGGGGGATGATCATAAGTATAATATTACTAACCTAGATATTCAAATCTATTAAAACAAACTTTTGTTTAAATAAATGTGAGTTTTGTTTCTAGCAATGTTATACATTAAATGACACTCTCACTTAGAAGAAATGAGAAGAATTACAGAAGGTTTTGTTGTTACCGAAGAAGAAACAAACAAAGAAGCAGGGGTTTTAAATATATTTGGATCTTTGTATCTATAATATTAGAATATTCAAAATACTTCACATTACATGATTTTGATTTTTTAAGTATTCTTTTGCATAACACTATTTTTTTAAATTAACTTTAATTAAAGATTCAAGTAAAATACCCATAGAATATGGGCAATACTGACATTTATCATTTAAAATAGTGGTTTTTCCAGACTCTTGCTTACTATAATCCCCTTTTTGCCGGCCTTATAACTTACGAACGTTATAACTTATGTTGCCCCCCAGTGGCACAGCGGAATGTCTTCGGATTTAGAACGCTAGAATCCAGGTTTTGATACCAGTGGTAGACAGAGCACAGATAGCCCTTCGTGTAGCTTTGTGCTTAACTTCAAACTAACAAACTTATGTTATTCATATTTTAACACCAGACAATAAAATATAAAATGAATTATACAACGAACGTAAATTAACTGTCAGTCGGATTAGGTGTGGATTTAGTTGATGTAAAATAGGAAGTTATTAACATCTTATATCTTTCCGAATCTGTTAGAAACCGTAAGTTGCAGGTTCGAATATGCAGATTAAAAAGACAAACGAACCATTTGTCGGAGTTATGTGGAATATTTCTTAAATATAATATAATAAAAGCAATAAGTTTACTAAAATTTTATGGTTATTTAACACAGGTATAATGAACATTTTGTACAACAGTCATACAGTATGACATGACTTTGAGATTACGTAAGTTTTGTTTGTAATTATAAGTTTTGGTTTTTTTTTTTGCGGTGTACGCACGATTAGACAGAAATAGAAACGAAAGACTTGCTCCATATAACGACCAGATTATTCGAATTTTGTCACATTGTTACTATGTTTTATATTTTTGTCAGATTACTGAGGTCCATGTCTATTTCAGCTACGTTTGACACCTGTAGGAGTCTTATTGTACGAAATACAAGGAAGTTTGTTTGTTTTAAATTTCTCCGTCCCTAATTTAGCAGTGTAAGACTAGAGGGAAGACAGCTAGTCATTACCACCCACCGCCAACTCTTGGGCTAATCTTTTACAAATGAATAGTGGGATTGATTGTCACATAATAACATAATTATTTTATCGTGGTAGCTATGTTAAAACTAATACTGATATTTTTTGTAAAAAAAACCGGGCCAATCGTAGGATAGTGGTTAGTATGTTGGGCTGCGGATCTAAAAGTCTAAAGTTCGAGTTTTGTATTAAACGTAAATACGTCTATATGGTTTAGAGTATCCACATATGCTGCTAGTTATTTTCTCTCCCTCTAGTCAGCAGTCCTCAATTACGGACAATTGTGGCGCGTATAACCTAGTTGTTTAGTCCATGTGTCATATAAGGTGCCATTCAGATTGAAGATATCAAATGTCTTTCAGTAAAAGCTGTTAAATTTTCGCTTTGAGAAATGACATGGTAACTTAGAAGAACTTTTGTTGTGTGTAAAGAGATCTTCATTTATAAAAGATATCAAATGTCTTGCAATAAAAAGCTGTTACATTTTCGCTTTGAGAAATGACATGGTAACTTAGAAGAACTTTTGTTGTGTGTAAAGAGATCTTCATTTATCAAAGATATCAAATGTCTTGCAATAAAAAATTTAAAAATCAAGTCTTAGGTATCGTGCTGTTTGCAATTCTCTCCTTGGTTGATATGCATTGCATTGGTTTTATATTTTATAACTCTCCTTAACACATAATTTTCACCAAGCTTTTAAAACACTTTAGTGTGCAGTCAATCATACATTTCACTTAATTATATCAACTTATATCTACCTACCTCTGTGTGTATCTCTCCAAGCAATAAACCTGGCGGTTTATAATGCTAAAATTCGGGGCTCAATCCCTGCGGTTGGAACAGTAATCTTTATATTTAACAACCGTCAAACGAATTCTGTGTTTATACAGATAGAGGTTATTAGAGGCTTCTAAAACATCTGGCCTAATGTGCTTTCAAAAACTGGAGGATTGGAAAGGTGGAAAATTTGTGGAATATGTTCGTAAACGTAACTGTTGTATAATTTTTATAAATGAAGATCTCTTTACACACAACAAAAGTTCTTCGAAGTTACCACGTCATTTCTCAAAGCGAAAATATAACACTAACGCAATCAATCATTTCACCTACGTTAAAGACGTAAATGAAAAATGGACAAGTTTAAAAAATGTCTTAAAGAAGAGTAAGTAATGTCAACCAACAAAACGCCATGGATTAAAGGTTAAAAAATACTTACGGATTATCTGATAAAAGCATTATTGAAAATGAAAGGGTAGATGAAAATACATAAATCAGCACAATTATACTACACACAAGCTGTTCATGCTTCATGCCCCACCACACACACATAAACACCAAATCAAGCTAAAATCGTACCACCCCATATTTCCCAAACTTGCGACCTACTTGGGCCGATGCAGAATTGGCTCGATTTGTCTCCGTCACGAGCTGGGTACCTGCTGAAACAGGACGACTCGTTGCCGACTGATGATTGGGCCGTTTCCTGTGGAGATAGTTCACGGTTATGAACTCTAGCATGGAGGCATAGATAAAAAACATGCACACTCCGTCCCACATGTTCATGGCAGTTATACTGGACACGACTGGTAAAGTTGACCGGAAGCTGTTAGTGGTGGTGCAGAAGTTCAACATCGTCGTCACACCTATCATAACACGAGCAGGCACAGCGTTGATATCTAACCAGAAGCTGATGAAGGAGCTGGAAACCAGGATGATTCCCGGGACAAAGACGGTGCTGAAGTAAAAGGACTTGTCTCGGGTAAAGACAAGCAATACCTTTAAGCAGCTGTATTCATCTGCGGATATTTGAAATAGTTGGCATTATGAAACATTTCAAGTGAGAATATCCATAATATCTTGTCCAGATCTGGCAGTGAAAAGAAACTACTATAGGATCACATCTGACTGTCCTAGAATAACATCCTAACCACATCATGAGAGAAAACACTTTGATATTCTAGTCCATTACATCTTAAACAATCTCGTTATTTAAAATTAAAACTGGCAGTGATACAGAAAATAACTTTTGTTCCACATTCCAAGCATCAATAAGCTGTACTTAAAGAGTACAGTAAGCTTTTCAAACCCAATTTTTTACAATCAATCAATGATAAACATGCAATTACTTTGTAAGATCAAAAAGAAAAGTAGCTCGTCCATTCACTCTATTCAGAACTCATTGTGTGAAATGAGTGGTTGTAATTTATTCAAATATAATGCCCTGTTTCAGTCGTCACAATAGTCTATTAGTTCTTCTTCAAGTCTAAGTTGTCGACTTTTTACAAGGCAACGCTTGAAACATTTTAATTAAATATTTACATATTTGTTTAACCAAATTAGAAAATTTGGCAGTGGCAGAGAGGTATGTCTGCGGAGTTTTCGATACCCTTGGTGGGCAGAGCACAGATAGCCATTTGTATAGCTTTGTGCTTAACTACAAACAAACAAACAACTAACTTAATAGTGTTGTAATAAAATATAATTCTGAGTATTCAGGTTTACAAATCTATTCAGTAAAAATTAGATATAAATTATTTTTTCTAATAAGGCATACAAGTCTGTACGAACTTCGTTTCACTCATTAGATTTTTAGATTACACGATCAACAAGTATTATGTGTTAACTTTTCACGTTTGGCAGTATTATGTATTTGATTTATTGAAGTGTTGGAATGAATAAACGTATACTGTAATTTATATAAACAAAAGTTATTACTCGCCTCTCCAAGTATATCTTCTATCACAGTCGCCAGTATCATTCTTCACTAGGTAGGCGTTATGTTGTCTCAGAGAACTTGCATTGATTATATTTTGCTCCGAAGGGGACCATTGTAACTGTACTTGTGTGTTTTCACTGGACACTGAATATCAAGATACAAAACCTGTAAGTTTCAAATAGCAATATTCACGTATTTCTTATATCTTTAATATTAAGAAAGTATACTATTCCACCTTCTGAGAGAGATCTTTATTATAATTAACAACTTTGTTCTAAAAGTTGCGACAAATGTGGAATTAGCAACAAAAATAAATAAATAAAAATTTATACAACCAGCTCTATCCACACCAAAATACATATGGAGTTATTTATTAAAATATATACAAATAGCTTTATCTATACCAAAATACGAAACTTTAAAACACTGAAAGAATGGACATATTGGCATTAGATCCTAAAGGAAAGCTGCCTTTTTTTACCTGCATACGAAGGAAAAAAAGGCTTAAAACAAATAGTTAACCAAAACACATGCGTTTCAAATTCTGGAGTTTATCATTTGTTGGCTTACAAAATTTTACTTTTGCCTTTTAACATATGTTGCGAAACAAAAGTTATGAATGGAAATAACTAGAATGACCACGAATTATAAAAAAAATTATGCTATACTTACCACTTTCATAGGCAAAAGGACACTTTGGATTGTCAAATGGGAATATTCTCAAGTTTCCTTGACAGTTTATAACCATCTCTCTCCTACAAAAAAGTTAAGATTGTTAAGCAATAAAACAATATATACGTACTTAAATCTATCATTATTGGAGAAATACAAGGTATTCCTTAAAGCTTATACGGTGTGAGCTTTGCAACAAACAGATTATATTTTACATTTGTCTAGACAAACCTATTATTAATGATGATTTGACTAGCAAACGAAACGATTAACTAAATATACGCCTTTCAATACCCGTAAATCCAGACAACATACAATCACCAAAATATTTAAAGAAATATCCTCAAACTCCTATCTCCAGTCTACAAAAGTCTATGTACTTCTGTGTTTAGAAACACAGCAAATAAGACATAAGGATATGGTAAACTATCGGTATGCTATAGTAAAATATCAATAGTTCAGACTCATTTATGGAATTTCTAACATGCCGATGATAGTTTTCTAATATATGTTCTGTGTATAATTTGTCCGAGCATAGAAATTCTAGGTAAACTATAGTTCAATGTTCTGCATTTTGAAATAAAATGGACTTACAACTGTGTGCACACATTTGAAATGATGATTTCAAATAGTGTTATCTAATTCATAATCAAGTGAAGCACAGTGCTTAAGCCTAAATAACTTCATAAACTCGGTCGCTGCATTATGTTTGGATTGACTCATCTGGTGGTTTCATGAGAAAGATAAAATATATTTTGGGTGACTGGAAATTGGACATGAGTAATGCTGTGAATGCTGTGCTTCATCGACACGAGATTCTGGTATCCACTCTTAGGTCTTTCGTTGGTGCCATTAAACTGGATTTCAGTTTGAGGAACTGTAATTCTCTTTCCTGCCGTGAACTTATCTTGTTGTCTATCTTGAATAGAAAGTATTGTGAGCACAGACTGGTCAATATTTTATTCAGAACTTACCACAGTCTGCTAATTCAACTCTGTTTGATTACAAATTTGTTGCTTATATATCACACTACTGAGAAAGAAGAAAAAAGGCAAAAAAAAAGTAATACATGTGCTTACGATTCACAAGTTTTTAAAGAGTATAAGCACTCTTTTAGTGAGAAAAGCAGATGTTGGAACGTGACGAGAATTTTTATTATCTTTTATATCTTCCTGATGGGTTCATCCAATTTACAAAATACCACACACTGTCAAGACTTCCAGCTAAGGACAATTAAGTTTAACCACAATAATTTTTATAAAGTAAAAGTATAAGCCAAATTTGTTGAGTAACGAAGAATTCGTTCATAATAAACAGAAAAATCAATTAACATTCCTCATCATTTGTCCTTGTTATCTCTATGTATTTTTTATGGAAATTTAACAGAAAAAAGTAGGTGTATTTTTTACTCAGATTCTAAGTAAAAGGAGGCTTATACCTTTGGGTGTAATGGACAAAGCCTTCTGGAGTCACACGGAGAGTAATGTGGACGGGAACTAGTGGATACTTGAAATCGCCATGTTTTATAAAATACGTTTCTGGTAGCCAGATCTTCCCAGCATGCGTTAGTGCATTCAAATATCTATGCCTACCTCCGTCCTTATATTTCAAACGAGGGTCTTCCCAAACTTGATGCAACAGGAACTCAACCTCGTATCTCTGCCAGAAACAACAACAACAACAAAATGAATAAAAATCAGCATAATAATAAAGAAAAAAAAATTCACAAGCATCCCCTATAGAAAACTTTAAATGTAATAACTTCAATGGCTTATATTGATGCTTCTTGAAACAGTTTAAATCATGCATACAAATACCTTTTATGTCTCAGTATCTTCTTTTTTTTTCTATCTCTCTAAAATGCAGTTCAACATTTTCCAAAGAGAATTTGAGGAGATTATTTTGGAATATTTGTTATTAGGTTAGACAAACACATTCTCTCATAATAGGAATAGTGCTTTCTGGGATTCCTCACATTGTTACGAGCTTTTGGGATCCCACTCCTCTCCCCCCATGGATCTTTCTTTACTGTATGTGAAGTCTCTGCTAGTTTTCTCGCAGTTGCAATAACAGCTAATTATCCCATTGTTTTTTTATTTTTCAAAACCGTAAAAATGTGTTCATTGAGTTAAACGCCCACTTTAGGACACCCGTCGTGACTATGGTATGTGATTTTTTTTTTCATCATTAATTTTAGACATGGGGTGCCAACAAGACACACTGGGAATTGCTTGTTAGCCAAAATATATCAGATTCAGATTTCATGGGTACCATTTTCTGTATTCCGTCTTCCGAGCTATCGATAACTTTTCTGTTCCTATGTATTTCAGATAAAAAGAATTGCAATCCGATTTAAGAAAAAAAATATATATATATATATATGTATTGCAAGTTATCAGGAAATGAGATCCTAGCCGGCGACTGTGGGAATTCGACACACTGTTCTTTCAAAAATATTCTAAGGAATAAAATTTCCAGTTTGTTCTTTAACTCAAACGTTTAAACTTTTCTAGAATTACTATGTAAAACAAGTTATTAATTTATTATAAAACCAATTAGCTGTTGTTATTCCTTTTGAAAGATTTGTATTTGTTTGTTTAAAATATCTCGATTTTAGAATATTGTACACAACACTAATTAAATTTATGTTATTCCTGTCAACAGCAGTTGTTCAAAACACATTGAAAATGAGTTATAGCGAAGTAACTGTGTTGAGTAAAGGACTATACATCAAACCAAACAATGAGTCATAGCGAACTAACTGTGTTGAGTAAAGGACTATACATCCAAACCAAACAATGTGTCATAGCGATCTAACTGTGTTGAGTAAAGGACTATACATCCAAACCAAACAATGAGTCATAGCGAACTAACTGTGTTGAGTAAAGGACTATACATCCAAACCAAACAATGAGTCATATCATTGCAAATATGCCTCCTATTGAAAATGTTTTTTTTCTTTCTTTTAGACCACAGGAATAAGAGTAAAGATAATGAAACCATGTTTTCCAAGTAATACGTATATTTCAGTAAAACTGAAACACTGGTGAAAATTGTCTGACATGGTACAATACAAGGGGCGGGAAGTGTTGTTTCAGGATACTAAGGAAGTAGATGAATTAGAAAACAGGAAAGTTTTTCATCCGAAAATGGTCGAGTTTCTTGTGATTCATAACGACTATGATTTTTCACATCCAGATATACAATTTAAAATTATAAAGAAAATATCCCTTAAGCATCTGATATTCCATATTTTCCAAAATTCTTCTTTCCATAGTATATTTGAATATTAAGACAGCAGATGTACGAACTTATACACCAAATATAATATAAAATATTATGTATAAAACTGCTGGTAACTGACAGATTCTTGATCAGTACAGGTAAAAATCTATAAAAATTTGAGGCAATAAGAAATAGCTTGTTTGTTTGTTTTTGAATTTCGCGCAAAGCTACACGAGGGCTATCTGCGCTAGCCGTCCCTAATTTAGCAGTGTAAGACTAGAGGGAAGGCAACTAGTCATCACCACCCACCGCCAACTCTTGGGCTACTCTTTCACCAACGAATAGTGGGATTGACCGTCACATTATACCGCCCCCACGGCTGAAAGGGCGAGCATGTTTGGTGGGACGGGGATTCGAGCCCGCGACCCTCAGATTGCGAGTCGAGCGCCTTATCCACCTGGCCATGCCGGGCCAAGAAATAGCTTAAATATTGATCTCCTAAATGGATTACATACCAAGCTGGATTCGTCTGGGGACGAGAGTGTTAGAATTGTCACTGTGACGTTCACGATCGTGTGGTCTAGATCGAAAAAAGAAATAACAAAATGACTTTAATACACTTATATATATATAAAAAAGAAATTGAAGCTGAAGGTTATAATATAATAACCATATACGGAATAAATTATAGCTACCTTATTTACATAGTGGATATTTAAAACTGTTTGTATATTCTAAACGTTAGCAGGGGTTTGTCGCATGCAAGATATAAAATAAATATATAAACATACTAAATAGACTGGCAATCACACTTGGAGTCTTTTCACACATCTCTGTTTAATTTCAGTGTTATAAGAAAAGAAGATCGCTTTATTAGTATTGAAACTACTGCAAGAAAACCTTCTCTAATATTTTCGAATAAAACGGCTTCACTACTCTGTTTTTATGTTATTTTGGACCCCAAGGGGGCCTTATGTGACACATAGATAATATGACCAAGTCAAATACCCAAAAGTTCATTAGTACCCTTTACTTATGGTACAGGACTGATTGTTTTATTTATAACACCTCTAAAGCTGAAACACGCGGAGCGTGATCAGTGGCATGTCGCGGCTCGAATCTTGGACCTCCCACCTAACCGCTAGACCATATCCAGTCCATTGAGCGTGATTCAGAAATATGATATAGAATACGTTGATTAAGGTCTTTAAGTTTAAATATTGCTTCGTACTCAATTTTCTGAGAAGAACCAGAATTTAGCTATTTGAAAATAATTACTTAGATTTAACGTGACGCTCGTATTTCAAAGGCGAGAGATGTTGTTTCAAGTTACATGGAAAATGAAGGTTAAACAAGCAGATCAAGTAAATTCAAGAGGCTGGATCAGATCCAATATAGTCAGTCACCCAGTAGGACAGCAGTAAGTCTTCGGATTTACAACCCTAGAATTAGGGGTTCGATTCCCCTCAGTGGACACAGCAGATAGCCCGATGTGGCTTTGCTATAAGAAAACACACACACACAGATCCAATGTAGATTAGTTTATTTTGTTTTTACGAAATAAATTTATATATATTTTTAAGATTTCGTGAATAAAAAGGATGGATTTTTATTCATACTAAGAATATTTAGAAAATATTATAAATACTTAGGAAAATATGCGCTTGTAGAAGCAGGATGAAATAATATTTTTACTAATTATTTATCGTATAAAATATCAACAATAGTGGCATAATTTCAGGAAAAGTCTCTAGAAGTTGTGGCAGCATACAGAACATTTTCTATACTCTACTTCTCCTGTTCCATCAACTTATACGTGATTACATTATATCGTGCAAAATCTGAGAAAGCAAACCGAGGAGGAGGAGGGTTGCAAGTTTGCTCCAGTGAAGATGACACATCTGATCAGAACAACAACGAAAAGAAATAAATGCTGTTTGATTCTGTTCTTTCTACCCTTGCACCCAACACTAACGGAGAACCCTAATCCTTTAATTTAGATAAAAGACATTCCGCTGATTTAATGAAATTCCCCTCTAAAAAAAAGACATCCAGAATTTGTCTTGAGATGAACACATAAAATAAACAACTTAAAATACAAGCGCTATAAAAACAACCAGAAATGTTTGTCTCTTCCTCTTAACATCAACACATCAAACTTTACAGTCAATTTATTGCCTCTAATTGTTAAAAGAAAGAAATTAGCCAGAACTTATATACCAGTGCTTTTTAGCATTAAAAACACATTAAGCAACTGTACCAGATCAAACAGACAGAAAAATATGCATTGTAGCGTTTTACGTCTGGTAACAGCCCGAACAAGTCAAGCCTAGTAGTTTCTTTTGATCACATGATCCTTAATGGAAAATTCACGGCTAACACTGAATTCGAAATTTGCGCAGTTTTTTTTTTCTAGATTAAAAACGCTTTTCTATTTTGTATAATTTTTATAATACTCAACGTTTATAACATCATCTCATGTTTACAGGTTAACAACTCTTCATTCAGTTATATTCTATTATTTGTTTGTAATTAAGCACGAAACTACACAATGGGCTATCTGTGCTCTAGCGCAGACACGCCGCTGTGCCACTGGGGGAGAGGGGGGCAGATTCTATGATAAACTTCCTGGCCGTGTAACGTTCTTAGTTAACTATTTGTTTACAATCATCTCAATAATGAGAGCTTTTTTCAAGGCAACAGAACCTTTATGATGACTAGCAGATTTTCGAACCATCCTTGGATGTTTTGGAACAGAAATACATCCGTATTAATAAATAATCTCGTTCGTGTAACTGACATTTATGTTCCATTATAACAATCGTTAGAGAAATTTTATGAGTTTTGGAATACACCAATATACACGAATATCTGCAAAATAAGTAAATCTGTATTCAAGCTTGGAATGAAAACTCAGATCTAGGCCTCACCTTTTGGTCGCATTCTTAAGTCATATTTAGCGGGTTCTAACAGATAGTCCAGAATTGATTTATCTGAAACGTTTTGGAAGCTGGAGAAGTAAAAAAAAAGTAAGAAAGAAGGAATTATATTTGAAACTGTAACTTATAAGCTTACAAGAGATGAATTACGCTACTTGTTATCAGTGTACAAACACTAGTAAACATGAAATTTAGTAAACCAAAATTACACTACTTGTTATCAGTGTACAAACACTAGTAAATATGAAATTTAGTAAACCAAAATTACGCTACTTGTTATCAGTGTACAAACACTAGTAAACATGAAATTTAGTAAACCAAAATTACGCTACTTGTTATCAGTGTACAAACACTAGTAAACATGAAATTTAGTAAACCAAAATTACGCTACTTGTTATCAGTGTACAAACACTAGTAAACATGAAATTTAGTAAACCAAAATTACGGTACTTATTATCAGTGTACACGAAATAACAAAATACTATTTCCACAAAATCAAAGCAGACAAAACTGATTATGACGTTAACTTGTGAGTTCTTACATGAATTCTAATTAGGATTTTACATAAAAAATTAGAGCATGTCAAGGCGTAAAATAATGTGGTCTACATCACACAGTTGGAAGTGAAATGTAGCGTTAATATCAGAATGTTTAAATTTCATTTTAAAGATCAAGGTTTAATCAGCGACGTCATCGAATAAAAGTATATCCAATTCGTTTATTGTATGCTTATCATAATAAAATTATACGTCTCAGTCTACAAATTTATCAAAGATTTACTGCAATTATAAAGAAGAAATATGATATTCGTTACATAATATAAGTTACCGACACGAGGTGGTAATTTACTGAATTAGCAAATGATTTAATGTAGGGTCACATCTTCAAAAATAATCTCGCCATTTTCTCAATAATGTGGTGATCTACTCTCATCAACAACGAATAAAATATAAAAGATAGTCTTGAATAACAATTTTACATCGTTCATCAATGTTAAAAGACGTGATAATCGTGAATATGTTTAAAATGGCATTTTTATTATGAGTAGTAACCAGAAAGTTAAAAATGAATTTTGATCAACATAAGTTTGATCCACAGACATATTGAGTGTACAGCAACTCAAATTAGATCTTAGATATAGCCGTTACTGAGATATATAGCAATAAATATAAATTATCTTTTTTTTAATGTTTCTTAGAAATTACTTTTATCGTGATTCAATTTCTAAACATAACGTGTTTTTTACCCGTCAGAATTTAAGTTGTTGGTCTTGATATTGTATACCGCACTAATATAGCTGACGCTTATATCCAGCTAAAAAA